TCGACGTGGGGAGGGTTGTCGTCGGTGACTCAGCGACCAATGATGTCTGAAACGAGGAACTCCTCATGGTCGTCCACCATGATGGGTGGAGGGCGCTCGTATGGTCGTCCAGCGAAACGCTCAGACGGTCTACAGTAAGGACGCAGTAACGAGACGTGGTAGACATCATGCACACGAACCAAGCGTAGGTAGTCGGGCAGCTTCACACGAAAGCTGGCCGGGCTAGATGCCGTATCAGAACCGACGCCCTGGAGGATGCGGCATGGGCCAAAGAAGCGACGTCGAAACTTGCGAAGCGTGTCCGCTTCGAGCTGTAAGTGGCGGGCGTCGATAAGCACATCATCACCGACCTTGAATGGGTGATTCATCCTCGATCGGTTCGCACATGCTGCCATGCGAGTCTGGGAAGCGGCTATGTGATCATGTGCGGTCGTCATAATCGACGTCATGTGTGCAAGCCAATCATCCAGCGCGGGACAACTCGTGTCGGGGTGCATCTGGGACGGTCGAAGGAAGTCCGCGGGAACACGCGGGTGATAGCCGAGGTCGCAATAGTAAGGCGACATCCCCGTGGCTGGCAAGACGGCGTGGTTGTAGGCTATCTCCGCGTGGGCAAGATGGAGATCCCATTGCTGGTCGTCACGAACAATCTTTCGGAGAATATCCCCGAGAGTCCTGTTCGTGATCTCGGTCTGACCATCAGTCTGAGGATGGTAAGACGAGGAGAAGCGGAGCTGAGTGCCGTACACCTCGTGGAGCCGTCGCCAAAATTGGCTCGTAAAGCACGGGTCACGGTCAGATATGATGCTCAGAGGTAAGCCGTGGTCACGCACGACTTGGTCAAATACGATGTCCGCGACCTCACGTGCACTGATGGCATAGCGGCACGGAACAAAGCGTGCACGCTTCGTGAAGCGGTCGACGACGACTAGGATAGCATCATGACTGCAGGGGGTCGGAGGTCGAAGAGGACCGATAAAGTCCATCGAGATGGACTGCCAACGACCCTCAGGGATAGGAAGAGGTTGGAGCAAACCATAAGGTAGGTGGTTCGCACTGTTCACGTCCTGACAGGTGGGACACTCTGCGACGTTGTCCTTCACAAAGTCCTTGCGCTTCGGCCAGACGTACAGGCGGCTCACACGAGCCAACGTCTTGTGGAAGCCCATATGACCAACAGCTGCCTGGTCATGGAACTCTGCTACTGCTCGGACACGTAGCTGTCCAGTGGAGGGAACACAAATACGGGGCTCTCTGGTGCCCTGTGAACCGTGCCAGTACACAAGACCGTTGTCCCCGAGAGAGTAGTTCGGGACGGTCTTGCCACTCCGAAGGGTCGCGTGGATGTCGCGATAGTCGGGGCAGTGGCGGTACTGAGTGCGAAACCCGTCGATCACCGAGTGGTGGACAGTGCTGACCGAGATGGAAGAGAGTTGGATGTGCTCCTGGTCATGGTCAGGGCGCCGGGATAGGGCGTCTGCGACCAGATTAGTTTCACCCTTGATGTGCTCAGTGGTGAAACTAAACTCAGATAGGTCGCGCCACCAGCGAGCCTGTCGAGGAGTGAGCTTCGGCTTTGTCAGAAAAGCCTGGACAACAGAGTTGTCCGTGCGCACCGTGAATGGTGCCCCGTGCAGGTAGTGACGCCACTGCCGAGCGGCATAAACTACTGTGAGAACCTCACGTTCATCAGCGGTGTAGTTTATCTCGGCGGGCAGGAGTTGACGGGAGTAGAAGGCTATCGGACAATCACCTGAGCGAGACTCGACAGTGCCGTCCTCGACGATGGTAGGAGAATAATCAATAGAAGGCTCGTCAGTAGCTGGACGAGTAGGCGTCAAGCAGAAAGCAGTGGTAGGGGTAGGTGGTGGGAAGCGAGGGATACGAGGATGAGAGGAATCAGGAGATGAGGGGAAGACCTAAGAAAGCACTGCTCCTACAGCGAAGTCTGACGCATCGGTGGTAAGGATAAAAGGGCGGTCAAAATCGGGTAGGTGAAGAACCGGTGCGCATGTCACCGCCTTCTTGAGGGCGCGAAAGGCGTCCTCGTGGAGGGGTGTCCAAGCCCAGGGTGGGTTCTTCCGGAGGAGGGTGGAGGTAAGGACGTAGGAATACCTAGC